AGCACTGTTAAATAGACTAATTACCACAGCAATACAACCCATGAAAGCAGAAATGTATGCCCTCATGCCCACTGAAAAATACCCATCTGATGATGAAGACAGCGCAGAGGATGAAATCTCTTTGCATTTTCCTGACTAATTCTAATGACATTAACAGTAACCCACCAGCTTAAAGTACCTCTGAGTGTACCCTTTACAGCTAAAACGTGATTTCATAGTTGAAGATCTGAAAAGAAGTGACTACTGAATGATAAAATAAATAGCTTAAAGTGAATAAACAGGGGGGAAATGTTGGATTAATTGTACAAGTTATTCTACTTTTAATCATATTACTTTAATCATATTATTATGCTTACACACTGAGATCATATTATTATGCTCACACATTTTGTTATCCTTATTTCACTTATATCATAAAGAGTGTTGAAGTATTTTACTTGTTTGTTCTGTACTAATGTTTTAAGTCTGTGCAGAAGGAGTGGTGATTGTGAGAACTGGCTGCTCAAGGTCAGCAGCCAGTTCAAGGAGAAGAACACGGGGAACTGCACGTATTAACACCAGAGAAAGGAGTGAAAGTTCTTATCTCATGAAAATGTATGATGTTTTGCAGACTTCTGGTTCCGACTGGTTTATTCACCCCTCCCTTTTAGCAGTCGGAACCAACATTGTAGTTAGGGAGTTCCTTAATAAAGGCATGTGAGGGCAGAGCTGTTTCAGAGTGTTTTGGAGAATTGTAACTGAACAGTCTCTGATCACTCTCCTTGCAAGTGAATCATACTAAAATTCTCTGTGTCTTTTATTTGTACAGGTTACTGCATAAAATGTTTGGTGTTTAAACCTAACACATGCTCTCCATCCACCTGCTCACTGATCACTTTCTCACTAGTCCATGCTCTCCATCCACCTGCTCACTGATCACTTTCTCACTAGTCCATGCTCTCCATCCACCTGCTCACTGATCACTTTCTCACTAGTCCATGCTCTCCATCCACCTGCTGAGGTTCTGTCGGAGGTCCATGAGGAAAGAGTCACCATCCAGCTGCTCCACCTGCTGCAGGTACTTACAGTCAAGCATCAGGAGCTGGATCCACTGCGCCATCTGCTGGTGACAAAGAGCAGCTGCAACCTTATAGAACATAGAAAATAATTGACTTGAATCAATATTCATTAGAATATTTGACAGAAATAGGAGCTCAGATTCAAACTACAACTAAGAGTTTGTACAAAAAAGTTAGTCATTCTGCAGAGATGGAGTACAAGCTTTAACCACAAACTTCTGAAAAAGTAGAAAGTTTCACCCTGTGGGGAAGGAACTACACCCTACACTACCCTTCACTGACACTATGGAATAGTCAGTCCATCCTGAACCTGCTAACTGCTTGTGTGGCTCTTGCCATGAAGTGTTTGTGAAAACTGCTAATGTAGGGTGACCAAACGTCCGTATTTCACGTCCTGTCCCAGGCGTCCCGGTTTTTTTTAGAAAGTGAGGAAATGTCCAGATTTCACTGCGCACGACGCTGCGTGTGACGTAATCCCTGAGCCGCGTCAGTGCGGGCAGCCCTGTTCTTAATCAGAGGCTCTGTTTGAAAACCTGGGCTGCATCCTCCAAGGAGCGGTCTACCTAGATTGGATCCTTCGAAGTCCTTGAAAATAAGGAGGCCAGAAGAGTTTTGGCTGTGAATTCGAACAGGTCTACCCTTCAGCGGGTTTTACCGCCGTATGCTCTGTTGCTTAGCAACCGTGAAAGTTGACACACAAAGCAGGAAAAGAACGAGGTTTTCAAAACTGTTTGTTTATTTATTTATTTTTTATTGTGAAGTGAACAAAGACTACACTCACAAGAATCCAGAGTGGAATAAAGGTTCCAACCACCGGGAGCAGGAACAAATAAAATCAAATGTAACGATAGAAACCTTAGTCAGTTAAATAACCTGCTGCTGTCATTTTGCACATCTCATTTTCAAATATCCATTACTGTAAAAATGTCCATAGCTGCATATTAGTTATTTATTCTCCAGTTTTATATTGTTAAAACACTTTACAGTATTGTATACAGAATTGTATTGTTTATATTTTAACTCTTCCCTATTATGTTATTCTTAGACATTTTTCTAAGGTCCACATTTGTGTGACCATTTTCAATAATCTTTCTGCTGCTGTAAATCTGCCCATTGTGGGACAATAAAGAGATTTTCTATTCAATAAAACGGGTAGAAATATATAAGTAAATCTAAACAATATGTATAAAAATATATCTGCAAAATCTCTAATATTCAACAACAAAAAATATTTAGTTAAGCATATTGTGCAAAACAGCAATAAAAAATTTAACTCCTATCAGATTTATAGTTCCCACGCTGCAGATATATTAGAATCTGTCCTTAAATTCCAGCCAAACCCATTTACACAGTAACAGATAAAAACCTTTAGATAAATCAAACATTACCGCCACATATCTGACTCAATAACCATTAAAACAACAATTTTCATTCATTTCAGACGGAACTATTCACTGACTGGATTATAGAGGGATTATTTGTTTATCAACACGGCGGATGCGCGCGCATCTTGACTGCCAAAAGTGCCGGGTCCTTTAAAGCGTCTGGTCGAATGTTGTGATTATACGCGGTTATTTAGCAGTTGCGATCTGCTAACTAGCGATGTTGTCAGCGTTCTACCACAGTTTATCACCTAGTGATAAAATAAGTTATGCTGCTAAATTAACACTAGTTAATGGAATACGTCTTAATGACCCATACGCGTTACATGCCGGTGAGTGGATAAATGACGAGAAAAAATGGCCAAAATTCAGTGGCCGGACATTCATTCCCACCTGTGCAAAGTGCAATAGGCATTTGCATTACGAATGTGCAAAAGTAAAAAGAAAGGCTAAAGAATGGTATTGTGATCAGCGCAAAAAACAGAAAAACTAGAAAAAATGCACTCTGAAACATAGAGTTGTAACTGTACCTGTGCTTACCATTCAAAGTATGCACTAAGGTTCTCAGTGTGCATCTTATGACAAGATTGTTTAATATTGTTATTTTTATTATTGGTTACATGCACAAGAATAAATATATTTCAATGTTTCCTTGACTCTCGAATACTTTATTAATATTTACACAGGGTTTACACAGGTATCAGCTGATTGAATTGTTTTCTTTTCAATGGCAAAACACAAAGCAAAATATCTGCATATTTCATTTAAGATTTTGAAATATATCATACAACAGAGGAATGAGGAAAAATCTCAATATTCAAAAGCAAACTGGATACAACACACATTTTGAACCAAAACTGTGCAAAATGTTTTAAACCACAGCTTTTGAATGTTCAATGAGCTTATGCAGTGAAAATACTTAGGCAATCATTTTTTTCAAAAAAATAATATTCAATGACATTTAAACCTCAATTCATAGATGTTAACAACATTAAGGCCTTAATTTTGGCACAATTCAATTAATCAATCAATTTGTTCATTCTCTGTTTTCAGTTTGTTGATGTCCTCACGCAGGTCATCACACTCTGTATGAAGTTGGCTGTACTTCAGCTGGAGGTCATCATGGACAGTCTTTGGGACCATACCTTCTGAAAAATAAATACAAATTTTACATTCTTATCTTTACAAAAAAAAAATGGTTACATTCTGGGTGATAAGTCACACTGTGGGCAAATACCTGTTCGCAACAAATATGAACATTACTAACTGATTAATCCCACTAGTACGGAAGAGGATTAGGGCCACTGGAAAAAAAAAAAAAGTTAACTGTTTTTGTTTATTTTATTTCAGTATAGTATGGGGAAAAAGTCAGAATTCTGAGAAAAAAGTCAGAATTCTGACTTTAATCTCAGAATTCTGACTTTGTTCCCATGTTAAACTGAAATAAAATTAAAAAATCAGTTTACTTTTTTTTTTTTCTTCCGTACACAAGTGACCATTCTATTCTGCAATAATTAATATGTTAACATTTAGGAACACACAGATCTACGTCCCTTTATAAAAATCCAAATGAGTTTGCAGGCCGTCTTGGTCAGGATAGTAATAAGGTTTCATACCATTATATAGATCAGCACCAGCCTCTATTCCACACTCAGTTGGAGAGATGGAAGAGGGTGTACACTGATGTCCATCTTCTGGACACCTGCTGGGGGTTGCATCCCTTCTTCTTTTTCTCTTATATCTGAAACACACAGGAGAGAACAATCTCCTAAATTCAAGTCCATACAAATCACATGCTCAGTCATCCCAACTCTCCATATGAGATGTCTAATAAAAACTACATGCTCTGACCTTTAACCTGGGTAACCTATATAGCTACAATATATCAATATTTTTTCTTTGCACTTCCAGTCATACTATGTGGAGTCATGCTTGTAATCAGACAACAATCAAGCACACAGATGTGATACTTACCGCTCCAGTTTTGCAACACCGTCTTTGCCGGGCTGGATTGAGTATGGAAAGATGGACGGGACAAAGTCTGGGCTGTCGATGTCATCTGATGCCTCTCCTGTACAAATAATGTATTGATGCAATCATCATCATCATCAACCTTTATTACAGACACTAGTCAATCAATTGAAAAGACAGCACACACAGAGAAGTTTAGACCAGACAACATGATGATGTTAATGATAAAACTTATGGCTGACCCGATGAGTTGCAACTTGATAAGACTGAATCAAGGTACATTAGCTTGTATGCTAGTTATGCTCCAATGTGTTTTGTACGATTCATTAATCCCGTTTATATATGTAATACTTAATAATTGTATGTAAAACCATTGTTTGTAAAACCAGCGATGCCGTTTAGCTTTTTTATAGATAAGACTTACCTGATATAAAGTGATCGCTGCAGATTGATGCATTTTTAATCATCTGCTCGTTCCAATCGCTTCTTCTGATGGCTTGCAACCAAAGACGTCTCTTGTTTGCCTTGAAAGGGGTGCGAGTTGATGGGATTCGGTAAAACTTGCGCGTTTTATTGTTTTTATCAAAACGGTTCGTGCAACCGACAGCACAACAAGACATGTTAGCGGCTCTTTCTGCAGGCGACATGCGCATTGGTGCCAGAAGTGACGTAGAGTGACGTTGCCTGATAATCCCTCTATATTAAACTGAACTTCCAATTTTCACCACTGTTCGGCGCCAAGTAACTTTTCCTCTGATCACGGAGCAAATCCCGATGATGAGACATTATTTCTTTCATTGTGCTATTTATTCATTACAGGAATTGTTAAGCATTTTTAATATATACATTTTGAATAAAATTATCGTTTGTTATTGGAGTTATTTCTGTTGACTTTTACTGAAAAGCATTTTGAATAAATCAACTGCAAATATAATGTTATTGTAGGATTACGTAGGCCTACGTTAAGTTAGTGCATGCCACAGACATCTTTATGCATGGGAACACTCCATCAACTTCAATGTGTTCTGAGAGGAGAGCTTTCTGGTGGACTTTGAAGAACTGTTCTCAGTGATCTGGAGCTGAATGTCACTAACTGATGGTCAGATCTTCTCCTTCCAGATTTTCCTCTAAAGCTCTGAATTGATGATTCAATTAATTGTAGCCTCAAAGCAGCCCAAGACCATCACACCACCACCACCGTGCCTGACTGTCAGTATGACGGTCTGGGCTGATCTTTCAGCAGATGAAGCCATGTTGTTGGGTCTGAATGAGCCACATCTTCTTTCTGATTTGCTCTTTTTTTTAGACTCTTTAACAGCAACATCCTCAACAGAATTCCTTATATGGAAAACAGGAAATTTGACATTTCAGGAAGCAGCCGTTAGCCAGCTGGTCATGTGACCAACAGGAAGTCCCTGCCTCTTCAAGCTGCTAACACTGTGACTGTGTCTGAACATCTGCCCTAACTTTAGATTTTAGCAGGGAACAAAAATCAGTTTTAAAGCCACAACACAACCAGTGCTAAGTCTTTTTGCAGCTATTTTTCTTTGCATCGTTTTCTTAATATGCTTGATTCGGTGATAAGTGGAGGCGTTGCAGAGACAAGGGTGGAACAAAACTAAGAAATATTTCTCGGTAACTCGATTTTGATGCTTTGTGTTTCGCGCTTCGCATGCGACTCCACTGCCTTAATTCCCATCGTTCAGAGCTTGAATGACTTCTTGCACAAAATCTACTGAGCCTCATGTATGTTCCCTGGTTTTAGCCATGGAGAAAACTCTTGGCTGGAGACAATTTTCATTACATTTACACTTGCTCATATTTTCCAGACAAAAAGTTAATGGTGCATCTCCCAAATGTCCCGGCCGCAACAACGCTTTTATTGGTTCAGCTATCAGGACGGAACCAATAATGGCATAGGAGCGGGTCTTGCAGCCATGGAGGCAGACATCTTTGCGCTATGGCAGCGCAGAGCCAACAAACTAGCGATTGCGAGATCGCCCATTACGCTCGAAAGTAACTACGGCAAGTTGAGATAGATGAACTGAGACAGTACTGAACAATAGATGGCAGTATTATGCCTGAGAATACTATCTGTAAAATTATCTATGTAAACAAACCTCATCACTTGAGAAGGTAGGTGATGCGGACATTGTGGAAGACATTTTGTTCCCGTAACGCTCGCCGTACTGTTGGGGGGAGAAGCGGTGGGGGGGGAGATGTTCATGTTGCTGCGGTCTGCAGTCTGGACGTTAGATGTCGCTGAAAATTACACATTGTAGCTTTAAGGCCTTAGTTTTATTTTGAAGAATTCAATGCCTTTTAAGACTTTTTAAGGACCCGCGGGAACCTTGTATTTAGACCATTGACTCCTCTAGTTGCTTGGTTGTAGTTGTTATATCAACTGAAACATTATTTGATAAGGTGAAAAAAAAAGAAAAAACTCCATCCAGGATACATTACTACAATATTTCCTAATCTAAGTTCTCGGGTCATCTAGATAGAAGGTGAATGCCAATCAACAACTGATTTTACAGCGTTAGGTTTTCTGAAAATACCAGAGACAACATGTAAAAAGATCAATATATAAAACAACATGAAGAACAAATTTTTACAATCCATGAGGTTTTTTTTTATTGCTGCTCATTCATCAATTTAGAAGTGATTATAGTAAAAACATCCACAGCAGAATATAATGGTATAAATAGGTGATAGTTACTTTCAGTCATAGCAGGTAAATAGAACATCTACAGAATCAAGAACAAAACTATTAGAATTAGTTCAAAGGAAAATTAGACTTTCAAAAAATGTTTAAAAAGCAGAAACTTTACACTTCTAGACCTGGTTTCAACAACACACCTAGCAGGTGTGTTCTGAGAGGAGAGCTTTCTGGTGGACTTTGAAGAACTGTTCTCAGTGATCTGGAGCTGAATGTCACTAACTGATGGTCAGATCTTCTCCTTCCAGATTTTTCTCTAAAGCTCTGAATTGATGATTCAATTAATTGTAGCCTCAAAGCAGCCCAAGACCATCACACCACCACCACCGTGCCTGACTGTCAGTATGACGGTCTGGGCTGATCTTTCAGCAGATGAAGCCATGTTGTTGGGTCTGAATGAGCCACATCTTCTTTCTGATTTGCTCTTTTTTTTAGACTCTTTAACAGCAACATCCTCAACAGAATTCCTTATATGGAAAACAGGAATTTGACATTTCAGGAAGCAGCCGTTAGCCAGCTGGTCATGTGACCAACAGGAAGTCCCTGCCTCTTCAAGCTGCTAACACTGTGACTGTGTCTGAACATCTGCCCTAACCTCTATATAGAACAAGTGTGAATCGAGCTCCAATCATGGTCAAATAGATTATTCTGCACATATATTCAATAAATTCACCACAACTTCCAGTAAAAATATATGTTTATTCATAAAAATAATTCAGCTCCAAGTCAAATATATTTCAGATAAAAACTATTGACAATACCAGTCAAACTCAACTAAACTAAGCTACTATCTACACAAAGGAAGCACACGGTTATAAACCACAATCAATGAGTGTATACAAAGTTTTCACAACTTAGCATGGATTTTGTATTTGAGAACAAAGATCTATCCTGAAAATTTAGAATTTAATCAAATTACCATTAATTCATTTAGAGAAATTGAAATGTTTTCAAACCAATTCACAATGCAAATCCAAGAGATGAATAAAACATGATTTGGTCAAATGATGTATTATTAAATGATTTGCTTTATCAGGAATTAATAACCTTTAGTTAATTGATTCTTTACCTTCAGTAATTGAGCTAACAGAGGTGAGGATTTCCATTAAATTACTTTTGGTCATAAGATAATCAAGAATAATCCAAATGTAACAAGCATATGAAAGAAAACACGACTGTTAAAGTTAAGTATTTAACCCCTCAGTGAAACAAAGCTTGTTTTTTGCTCAATAAACAGGTCAAACATGTTAGAATATAGTTCCCTGCGGTCCATTTTGTTAGGTTTGTCTTTAGTGACTTGTACCAAACCTGTATTTATGTTCATATCTGTTTTGGAAAGCTTGAGTTTTCTCCAGAATTTAGCAGGTTAGCATGGCAGGCTCACATTAGAGAGTGTGGTCCTTTGTTCGATGTCCTCTTCTCTTCAAGTATCGTAAAAATCTGAAAACTCTAATAGAAATGTTGCAGTCTGTTTTGCAGCAATTCGGTTCTGAATGCCAACCATCATGACTTAGCCTCTGGTCAGTTTCTAGGGACTGTTCCCTGGACATGAGGCCATGATGATGTCTCTCTGATGTGAACCTCTCAAAGCCTCACAGAAAAGGAGAAAGAAATTCTGTGTGATTTGGTGTTTTCTGGCAAAGGCAGACCTCTGTAGAAGTGTCTTGCAGGGAGGTGTTTTAGAGCAAAGTAAGCTGCAGAGCAAAACTGTCATCTACCAAACCCAATGGACATGTTTGAGATAAAGCAGGGGTACTGACTCCCTATGTCCAAAATCATTATCATGATAAGGTGTGCAACAAATTCCAGAGTGAAAGTGATGCGGGCTTACTAGACAGACAAAGGGATAATCCTGTTGCCAAGTAGATAGGAAGCATGGTCACTTGGAGGAATAGTGACAGGAACCAACACTGCCACATATTTACAAGGTTCCCACAGCATAAGGCAAGTTAAATTCAAGACTTTTTAATGTCACTTGAAATAAAAATTTAAGACCAAATTTCAAGAAACACAAGAAACATCTGCTTGTGACAACTTAACCCAGTGGTTCTCAAACTTTTTCTGTCATTCCCCACTTTGGACAAGGGGGAATTTTCAAGCCCCGCCTGTCCCCATCGCCCCAACACAATGCTAATGAAATATTCAACAATCTTAAAATGTTCCAATTTTATTGAAGTAACAAGTAGTATCTAAATACAAATCTACATCAAATAACAGCAAGCTCAAAAATAAAGAAAATAAAAATGCAGCTGTGTCAAAATTTGTATCAAGCTCAAAGATAGAAAAAATTAAAGTGCCACTCTGCAATCTGTTAATAAAAGAAAAGAAGTGAAATCCATCTGGCAAGACAGGTCTATTTATCCCTGCATTAGTGGCTGCAATGAGCCTGTTTTGCATTGCAGTTTCTCAAAACGGGGTTGCAGGCTTGATACTGCCACTCTCAAGTCATGCTCAATGTTCAGCTGAGATCTGTATTTTGTTTTCATTGAAGCAGCAGCTGAAAAGCCCATCTCACAGAGATATGATGTGGCAAAGGGAAGAAGAATGCACACAGCTCTCTGCCCGATGAGTGGATACTCGCTCTCCACTCCTAACCAGAAACATGAACATGTGGCTGTGTGAATCAAACGCCGTTATTTATTTAAGATAAAATATTTCAAATTCAGTTATTTATGATCAACCTGCGCCGTCAATCCCGGCGCATGTGCGCTTTATTTGCAGTCTGGACGCAAAAGTTAAACATGCTGTGTCTCTGCTCTGACTGCAGCGCTGATAGGGACTCCTGCAATAGCGGGGGAGAACGGGGTTGGGACGGGGGAGGCGCCCCACGGCAGCACCTGCCGCTGGAGGACAAGAAAAGGAACGATACGTGCTTTCACGTAAGAGTCTCCAAAAGGCGCTAGATTTGTTTTTTTGAAAAAGAGTCGCTGGAGGGGTCTGAAATATAGCGACAAAGTCGCTGAGTTGGCAACACTGGGACGCGAAAGTTTATTCTGTTACAAATAATATGCCGACGTCACGTCAATCATTATTTTGGCACTTCAGTTCCAGGTGAAATTTTTCTCATATCTAATGTTCTTTTAATTAGACTGCATGTAGGCTAGTAATGATTACTTTGTGGGTTTGATTGGTCTAAAAAGCGGCAACATACAGCTATAAGGACAGTTTGCTCTCACACGTTCTACATTTATAGTCACACACACACACACACACACACACACCGGAACTTGGCGCGCCCCACCTGTCACGTCTCAATTCCCCACCAGTGGGTCGCGCCACACACTTTGAGAACCGCGGACTTAACCCAAAGGTTTATTTTAACATAAACCACTGCACCAATGTTTCAAATTTTGAAACACTTCCCATACAGGAAGAAAGCTAAAAACACACAAATGACAGATATATTTTAACAATTATTTAACTGAATTCACAAACTTTGTTTTAGCAGGGAACAAAACAAATCAGTTTTAAAGCCACAACATAACCAGTGCTAAGTCTTTTTGCAGCTATTTTTCTTTGTATGGTTTTCTTAGTATGTTTGATTTGGTGATAAGTGGAGGCGTTGCAGAGACAAGGGTGGAACAGAACTGAGAAATACCAGCTGTTTCTCGGTAACTCGATTTTGACGCTTTGTGTCCAACCACTAATGGTGAGCCGTTATTTTTTTTAAATAAAAAAAAAATTGTCAATTTGAATGTCTTATTTAGATTACAAAAATAAATATAATCCTATTTATGATGTTTGAAAAATTAAGACCTACGAAAGACTGATTTAAGACATTTTAATACTAATTAAAGCTACAGTGTGTAATAATTACAGGGATATTTATAATTACATAGGAGCGGGTCTTGCAGCCATGGAGGCAGACATCTTTGCGCTACGGCAGCGCAGAGCCAACAAACTAGCGATTGCGAGATCGCCCATTACGCTCGAAAGTAACTACGGCAAGTTGAGAGAGATGAACTGAGACAGTACTGAATAATAGATGGCAGTATTATGCCTGAGAATACTATCTGTAAAATTATCTATGTAAACAAACCTCATCACTTGAGAAGGTAGGTGATGCGGACATTGTGGAAGACATTTTGTTCCCGTAACGCTCGCCGTACTGTTGGGGGGGAGAAGCGGTGGGGGGGAGATGTTCATGTTGCTGCGGTCTGCAGTCTGGACGTTAGATGTCGCTGAAAATTACACACTGTAGCTTTAAGGCCTTAGTTTTATTTTGAAGAATTCAATGCCTTTTAAGACTTTTTAAGGACCCGCGGGAACCTTGTACTTAGACCATTGACTCCTCTAGTTGCTTGGTTGTAGTTGTTATATCAACTGAAACATTATTTGATAAGGTGAAAAAAAAAGAAAAAACTCCATCCAGGATACATTACTACAATATTTCCTGATCTAAGTTCTCGGGTCATCTAGATAGAAGGTGAATGCCAATCAACAACTGATTTTACAGCGTTAGGTTTTCTGAAAATACCAGAGACAACATGTAAAAAGATCAATATATAAAACAACATGAAGAACAAATTTTTACAATCCATGAGGTTTTTTTTTATTGCTGCTCATTCATCAATTTAGAAGTGATTACAGTAAAAACATCCACAGCAGAATATAATGGTATAAATAGGTGATAGTTACTTTCAGTCATAGCAGGTAAATAGAACATCTACAGAATCAAGAACAAAACTATTAGAATTAGTTCAAAGGAAAATCAGACTTTTGAAATCTTTAAAAAGCAGAAACTTCACATTTCTAGACCTGGTTTCAACAACACACCTAGCAGGGTTGACTGATCCACTGCTAATGATGGCAAACAAGAATAAATTAGAATATACTTTCCATCTAAATAAAGATCTTTTTCTGGAATATATAAAACCAATAGCTTATCATTCAGCTAAAAGTTTCTTAGTCCCAAAAATAAAACCTGTGAGTTTCTTTCTGAACAAATTCATTCAGAAAAAGTTGTGCCACACCATGCCAAAATGGCACAGTAGGGGTCCTTCTGGATTTTTTTCAATTTAAATATCTATGATTTTTCAGTTATTTGTTTTATGGACAGCAAACTTCCTTCATCTGTAAGTTGTTATCGTTGTACTTTAGTATGTTTATTGCCTTCATTACAGAAAAAGTAAATTGTGAATGTAAACGTTGTTAGGGCATTTAAATCTAATTTACTAAGGCCAAACATAATTACATTTCAAATGTTCCCATCCACATATACGCCCTGAGTATTTACCAGGTTTACAATGGAACACCTTATCTGTCCTAGTTTCTATGTAAACAGAGCTGTTAATTATTGGCTTTCTCAAAACGTTTCTCGAAAAAGACCATTAGCCTGTGAGTTTCTTATGTAATGAGGTTACATTTCATCAAACATGGAAAACACCTCTACTTTTCATTTCTTTGGCGTCTAATTGCTGTGACTTATGTGGAACAAATGTTTTTTTTTTTTTTTATATGTGAATAATTAAATTACCTTCTCCTTTAAAACATTTGTCACAAATCAATCAGGAGACCTGCTTCTCACCTGTGTGAGTTCTCATGTGTCTGGTCAAATGATGTTTTTGAGTAAAATTGTTGTTACAAATGGTACAGGAAAAGGGTTTCTCACCTGTGTGAATTCTCATGTGAGAAATCAAACTAATCTTTTGAGTAAAATTCTTCTTACATATCGTACAGGAAAAAGGCTTCTCACCTGTGTGAGTTCTGATGTGTGTATCAAGATAAAATTTCTGAGTGAAGCTTTTTCCACAGGACAGACAGTCAAAAGGCTTTTCACCTGTGTGAATTCTCATGTGAGAAGTCAAACTATCTTTTACAGTAAAATTCTTGCTACAGATGGTACATGAAAATGGCTTCTCAGCTGTGTGAGTTCTGACGTGTCTATCAAGATAAGATTTCTGAGTGAAGCTTTTTCCACAGGACGAACATTCAAAAGGATTCTCACCCGTGTGAATTCTCATGTGAGGAGTCAAACGACTTTTTCTCATAAAATTCTTGTTACAAATAGTACAGGAAAAGGGCTTCTCACCAGTGTGAATTCTCATGTGAGAAGTTAAACTATCTTTTACAGTAAAATTCTTGCTACAGATAGTACAGGAAAAAGGCTTCTCACCGGTGTGAATTCTCATGTGTCTCTTAAGATAAGATTTGTGAGTGAAGCTTTTTCCACAGGACAGACATTCAAAAGGATTCTCACCTGTGTGGATTCTCATGTGAGTTGTGAAACTACTTTTTACAATAAAATTCTTGTTACAAATGTTACAGGAAAAAGGCTTCTCACTTGTGTGAATTCTGATGTGTTTATCAAGACTAGATTTCTTAATGAACATTTTTCCACAGAACGGACATTCATGAATCTCCTGACCTGTGTGAGTTCTCATGTGAACCATTAAATGTTCTTCTTTTGGAAAGTTTTCTCCACATGTCAAACATTGGAAAGGTTTCTCTCCTGTATCATCAGTCTCCCGCATCAGAAAAAGCTGCTGTTCCTGCTCACTTATAGGGAGCTCCATGGTTTCCTCTTTTGTCCAGGGATGTTCTGGTTCTTGCTGCTCTTCTTTCATCTGCAGAGGTCCTGGTTCCTCTTGGTCCAAACTGGAATTCCTCCCCTGTCCACAGAGCTGCTGGTAAGAGAAATCCTCCTCTTTTCCAACATAATCCTGCAGGCGGTCTGGAAAGACAAACAACAGAAAGACTTTCTATTGTAGGTTAAATAAAGGACACTTCCCTTTGATCATCCTTGTGTTGATTTAACTACATATAAACAGACTGAAACTACATCTCCCAGCATGCACAGCAGTTATGAAACCACAATTACAGGTTATAAAATACAGCTTAATGCTCTGCAATTTCGCAAGGTTAGGACCTCTACTTTTATAATTAAAGCTTTAAAATCTGATTACCTGCAGATTCTTAGCAATTAAAGAAAAGTTTATAATATTGATTTTTTTTTTTGGGCTGAGCTGACAAGGCTTTACTGCGTCTTGACCAGAGACTGCTGGAAAAAAGGCACCAGCTCCACTGTGACCCTACGGATAAGCCCCAAACGAGGGAATGCACACACCTGTATCACAAATGGCCAAAAGAAAAGGGAGGTGCACTCCAGAAAGCCAGAGCTCCATCCTATTCTGGTCTGATCCAGATCTTTTTCAAGCATTCTGTCTTTGCTGACCTCAGTGCAGAGCTAGATTATAAACCTTCTCCGACTCAAACTCTTTAGACACAATATGTAGAGAAAAATTTAAAAAGATGGTATAAAGACAGAATGCACCTCTTCTTAAGACACAATACGGGTAATGCAGAACATCTTAAGAAAACAGGGTGAAGTTTAACCTAACAACAGCCAGATGCATGTCTCGCTCCGCCTAGCTCCACTCACATACATCTGGGAACCCGCTCATTGAAAGTGATTTCCCCAACCGAATTTATGGTCTGTCCAATCAGGACGCAGGGCGGGTGTGTCCTGGAGTGGAGAAGCGACTGTGAGATTCCAACAACAATGGCGGCTCGCATTGAGGAAGCAAGCGTTAGCATTGATGCTGCTACTTCTTCTATGTTGTCCAATCTATCTGATATTGTTTCATTAAAAGAACATCAGAGAACGGCTTTGAAGGCTTTTGTTGGTGGAAACTATGTTTTCGCCCTTCTCCCGACCGGATTTGGCAAGAGCTTGATCTACCAAATGGCTCCTCCTCTCACAGCGTCACGGGTTAGCTTCGGTGTGAGTGGTTGAAATAGCACGTCAATAAAGATGACAGAAAAGTGGCTCATCCAATCATATGCGAGGAGTTTTGATGAGACCCAGCCTTCAGTAAAGGCAATTCCTATGGCGGGTTCCCAGATGTATGTGAGCGGAGCTAGGCGGAGCGAGACATGCATCTGGCTGTTGTCAGGTTAGGTGAAGTTAACATAGATGACAATTCTCCACATTATTCTGCAGAAGAAATGTTGACTTCATTAAAAAAACACAAGATCAATATTTTCCATCCCCAGTTTATTTCTACTTCACTCTGAAACCTAGTATAAAAAACTAATCCACACTACATTCCTCTGACAAAATTTGTTATTATCATGACAAAGATTCATGCAGCTCAAGCTCCTCCTATTTGATTACTCACTCCGTAATAAAGCAACGGTGCATCACTTTGACACACCTCAAGTCAAACACATTTAGATATCATACAGGATGACAACAGAATAATTAAGCCAATTGTTCCTTTTGAATAATTTGAAATGCAGAGACGTGTATGACGACAACACGTCAAAAACATATGTCTGTGCCTGTTTTAGCTAGAATACCCTCTACTTCTTTTAGACAAATGAGCAAAAGGACACAATTTTTGCATTTGAGGATGGAAAAGATTTTTGTGTGTTCCTCTCACTGGATATGGTAAGAATTTGTTTCATCAGTTCACACTGTAAAACAAATTAAGAATGTGATATTTCTCAGCTGCTATCGTGGCTGTGATTAGCATAAAGCTCCACATGGGAAATGGTTACCCAATCAGCTCTAAGAATTGTACTGAATGACCCTAATTGTTGCTAAAAGGTTCTACAGAATGATACCAAGATTGAAACGGAGTAGGAACTGATTTAAAATATCTGTGTCAATGTGGCTTATGCCAGATTAGATGTCACAGATGCAAAAAAAAGAATATAAACCAGGTTTGAAGTGTCTTATTGCTTTAGTTTTTAAAGAAGAGTAGATTAACGGAACTTAAGGTTGTAAGAAAAAAGGGTGGAATAGCCCTTTAGCTTTTTGCTGAACCGGTATTGTGAGCAGAAGAGAATGCCTGCTGAGAATTGTCTTGCCTGTTTCGCTCTAAGCTCTTGCATATTGATGACCAAGTGTCATGAATTTACCACTGTTTTAGTAAAGGAAGCCATGGAGAGAATCTTTTTTCAATCAAAATGAAAGATTGAGAAAATGATGCTGACAAAGGATAACACAGGAATGCTCTTAAGAGGTTTGTAGTTGGCTTTTAATTCTGATGTTCCTATAAAGTCTATATTTTTTTGTGAACATTTTTCCACAAGATAGACATTAATAAATCTTCTTACCTGTGTGAGTTCCCATGTGAACCATTACATTTTCCTTTTTAAGAAAGTTTTGTCCACATGTCAAACATGGGAAAAGTTTCTCTTCTGCATCTATTGTAAGTTGCTCTTCATCCTGACTTATGGGGAGCTCCATGGTTTCCTCTTTTGTCCAGGGATGTTCTGGTTCTTGCTGTTCTTCTTTTATCTGCAGAGGTTCTGGTTCCTCTTGGTCCAAACTGGATTTCCTCTCCTGTCCACAGAGCTGCTGTTCAGAGAAATCCTCCTCTTTTCCAACATAATCCTGGAGGCAGTCTGGAAAGATAAACACAGCAAAAAGTCGTTCTATTGGTGGTTAAATAAAGGACACTTCACATAAAAGCACCAAACTCTCCTTGAGGTTGAGGAGCGAGTGGATCCTATCAAGCAACCTGAAGATATGAAGTTCCTTCTAGCCTAAATTTATTTCCCCACAAACAATTATTAAGGAAAGTAAAGGATTTACATCCAACACCACAGTGACTGTCTGGCAAATGAGGAAGTAATGAGACACCCTAAACTCAGCAGCGCTTCCTGTACAGCTCTGCCTGGAAGAGAGATACCCCAGCTCAATGTGTCAGAGGTTGAGCTGATTTTAAATTATTTCTGTCTTGTTCAAATGAATTATTATGGTAAGAAAGAGAAAAACAAGCCATCTGGAGCAGCTTCCTAAATGTAGCAATCAGCAGAGCAAAGGGACTGTTATTTTCCTGGAAAAATTATTTGAATCATAAAATAAAGCGAGAACAGTTATAAAAAGATCACAGTGAAAGAAGAATTCAAGTATTGATCAGTCTAGACTGTACTGGAGGCAGAAAGGCCTGCAAGGCCTGGATAATAAGGTGATCACCTTCAGTCCCTTACATGGAAATGCAGTATCCCTTTCTGGACACGTCAAAACAGCCAAGTTCTGTTCATCTGATAACTTATCTGGGTTCCCCATCACAGAAGAGCAAAGTAACTCAGACGTATCACTCAAGAGCTGGCTAATAAAAGATTGCAAATTAGTAACATTTTGGCAATTTGGCGTAAAACTAATATTTGAAATTTTTTAAATTTATAATTTAAAAAATTTAAGATCCACCTGATCGCCAGCACTGAACAGATCAGTACGCTTGAAAATAACACTGGTTAAACTTTTACCAATATAGATATCAGCTTAGAAAGCTTAGATTCTCTACAATTCAACCAACAAGTTAATTTTATGAAAGAACAATATATAAAGACATAGTAGCATGTTAAATCAGAATTTTTAAAATAAAGCTTCGACTTCCTATTGTTGAAGCTTCCTGAGGCCGTATTATAAATCCCATGTGTTGGATTAATTGTACAAGTTATTCTACTTTAATCATATTACTTTAATCATATTATTATGCTTACACACTGGGATCATATTATTATGCTCACACATTTTGTTATCCTTATTTTACTAATATCATAAAGAGTGTTGAAGTATTTTACTTGCTTGCTCTGTACTAATGTTTTAAGTCTGTGCAGACGGAGTGCTGATTGTGAGAGCTGGCTGCTGAAGGTCAGCCGGTTCAAGGAGAAAACACGGGGAACTGCACGCACTAACACCGGAGAAAGGAGTGAAAGCTCTCCTTATCTTATGATACTGTATGATGTTATGCAGACTTCTGGTTCCGACTGGGTTTCACCCCCTCCTCCTTTTTAGCAGTCGGAACCACATTGTAGCCAGGGCGTTCCTTAATAAAAGTTTGGTAGAGCGGAGACTGTTTCAGAGTGGTTTGGAGAATTGTAACTGAACAGTCTCTGATCCCTCTCCTTGCAAGTAAATCATACTAAATTCTCTGTGTCTTTCTTTGTACAGGTTACTGAATAAAATGTTTGGTGTTTAAACCTAACACCATGTTAGATTGTTTATATTCTATTTGTCTGCAACGGTCTACATATAAAAGAATTTGTAATAGAAACATTCCGTGATGAGAAAATTGCTAAATAAATTCAGTTTAACATCACAAAAGTCCCATCCTTATGGTTAATGCTAACCTTCTTGCTAATTACCGTAGCTTCCATGAACATTTCTGGTTGATGTTTGGTAAGTTTGTTTTCATCACCTTCCAGCCTAGGCTTCTGCCTGAGGTTTGTTTGGGGTGGTTCGTCCCGGAGAGACTGGCATTTTTCATATTCCGCTGGATGTCTCTGATTAAGATGCTAAAAAGGTTTGTGGTGCTGCTGCCTTTAACTGCGACTACCTTAAGGCAAACGTTGCAGTGTGGGGCTTCTAAACCCAAACCAGATCCAGACAACGGATGGTTTTATTACTTTTTACTAACTTCTCACTCTGGGAGTAATACTCCAGCTACAGAAACGCAGGGGAGCCAAAATTGCAGCGTTATACAAAATTTAAGTGATTAAGCCAAATGTTCCTGATAGGGACACATGGGGGTGACCGCAACAAAAAAATTTGTATTAATAAATAGAATTTTTTTTTTTTTTTTTGCCCACACCTTTTAGGGATTGTTTGAAGCTAAGACCTATTTATCAACCATGGGACTAATATGGCCACAAAAACATTGATGGCCAGTATTCCAAGAGCAATTAGGGTAATTGTAGGATCTGTCATGAATTGTCACAATTGATATTCTCATGGCCTCAGATAATGGACTTGTATCTGTGCTCGTCCTGTTGGATCTCAGTGCTGCATTTGATACAGTTGACCATAATGTTCTTTTAGAAAGACTTGAATATTTTGTTGGAATTAAAGGAACAGCACTAGACTGGTTTCATCTTAGACCTTATTTATCTGACAGATTTCCGTTTTTTAATGTTAATGATAAATCCAGGATTCTTCCAGGATTACCTGTGGAGTACCACAGGGATTAATTTTCACTGTTATGCTGATGATACCCAGCTATATCTGTCTATTAATCCAGATGAAACTAACCCATTACATAAATTACAGGCATGTCTTGAAGACATAAAAACCTGGATGACTCTTAGGCCCCGTCCAGACTAAGTCAAAACGAACACGAAACGCTAATATTTTCCAGAACGTTTGTCGTAAAGACGGAGACGTAAAATAAATGTGATCGTCCACACGAATCCATGAAAACGCTGCAAAATGTATGCCAGGCCTGTAAGTGGCGCTGTGGTGCCAAAGCAAAAATAGGCGACGAGATGTTGGGCATGCGCACTAATATTTATACATGGTTGCCCTGCGGGTCCATTTTCGTGGTTCAGTCAAATTCAGGTGCTGAACTATGTCGACGATATTGCTCTGTTCTTCCTGGAGATATTCCAGAAGAAGAAGATTCTGTTGTAAGCCCGACAGCAGGGTGATTAGCATTAGCAGCAACCATTCAACACAGTATTGTTGTTGTGATACTGTGTCGCACATGCGTGTTTAGAGGCAACGCTATGACGCATGCGTGTAAGAAAAAAAATGCGGTCAGAGCTTAAAGATGGAAACGCGAAAACGGCGTTTCAAAATCTTCCCACTCTGAAGGCTGAATAAAAAAAAGATTGTTTACAGACCCCTGAAACGTATGGATGAGAGGCTGGTTTGGTGAAAAATTTGTGCGTTTAGGCCAGGGTTTGACTTCGTGTGGACGGGGCCTTAACTTTCTCCTTCTGAATGCAGACAAAACAGAAGTTATAGTCTTTGGACCAGAGTCTCTGAAAAAGAAGCTGATTAGTCAGTCACTTCATTTGGATGGGATTAAACTGATTTCAGATAATAAAGTTAAAAATCTTGGTGTTATTTTTGATCAGGACCTGTCATTTAAATCCCATTTCAAAGAGGTTTCTAGAATTTCCTTCTTTCATCTGAGGAACATTGCAAAAATTAGAAATCTCCTGTCCAGGGTTGATGCTGAGAAACTAGTCCATGCATTTGTTGCTTCAAGGCTGGACTATTGTAATGCTTTACTATCAGGAAGTCCACAAACTGTAGTTAAAAGCCTTCAGCTGATCCAAAATGCTGCAGCCAGAGTTCTAATGAAAATTAAATAGAGAGATCATATCTCTCCTATCCTGGCTTCTCTTCATTGGCTTCCTGTTAAATCCAGAATTGAATTTAAAATCCTCCTTCTCACATATAAAGCCTTAAATTGCCAAGCTCCATCTTATATCAGAGATCTGATTGTTCCTTATGTTCCTAACAGAGCACTTTGCTCTCAATCTGCAGGTTTACTAGTGGTTCCTAGAATTTCTAAAAATAGAATGGGAGGCAGATCTTTTAGTTATCAGGCTCCTCTCCTGTGGAACCAACTACCAGTTTCAGTCCGTGAGGCAGACACCCTGTCTACTTTTAAGGCTAGGCTTAAAACTTTCCTTTTTGATAACGCTTATAGTTAGTGTTGCACCGATACCGATACCAGTATCGGACGGGGCCCCGATACTGCCCTAAGATGGTGGTATCGGTATCGGCGAGTACTAACAAATAGGGCAACGATACCATTTTGAGTGCCATAAGTTTATTCAACTACCGTACTGTCACCCACTCCTGGTAGGCAATACAAAGTTCTACTGGATTCACTTTGTATTAGATTTTTTCGTGCTTCACAAAGGTAGGCAGCAGCTTGACAAAGCCATGATGGCAATTATTTTACATTATTATGGTATCGGTATCGGCCGATACTGCACAGCCAGGTACCGGGAAACGGTATCGGGGCCAAAAAATGGCATCGGCGCAACACTACTTATAGTTAGGGTGGCTCAGGTTATCCTGAGCTATCTCTATAGTTATGCTGCTATAGGCTTAGACTTCTGGAGGACATAGGGACCCCCATTTCATCATTCTGCTTCATTCTCCCTCTATTATCCTTATGCTTGTTCTGCTCTCTCTGCTTTTTCTCAGAGTAGCTTTGCCTCGTCTGTTCCTGTTTAACTGTGACACCATCCTGGAAAGAAACATCAGCTGTGCTGCTTCCATCAACACCTTTTCTTATAGATGTTGGAGATCGGCCTGTTTTCCAGTCTAGTCCTGTTTCTCTAACTGTGACTGGCTGGATGTGCTCTCTTCATCCTCTGAAGTGGAGGTTTGTTCAGAGCTAGTCTACCTGACTGTGTGTTTCCTGGACAGGGCCACCTGTGGAGCTGATGACAAGTTCCCTTAGTATCTCTGCTACTTTCTTTATGTCTGCTTCTGTCTCCTTGAACCCCAGTTGGCCTCGGCAGATGGACGCACACACTAAAGGCTGATTCATACTTCAAAACTAGGTCACCTGCGTAGGTGTCGCAGTGAACGCAGAAACATTCCCG